TGCTCCTGGAGCCCCTGAAAACCAGTGGCCAGATGTCACCAGAAGCTCGTGCAGAGATCTGGTTAAGCCAGTGTCCCTTTTTGATTGTACTGAGCCTGATACTTGATATTTTTTTGGACTGGAAAAAGATTATAGGAGAGTATTTTCATCATTATAGAGATCTTAAATGCCAGCTAGCACTTGAACCAAGTGATGTTCCTGTTCTGTGATGAACAACCACATAGACTGAAGTAGAGGTTTGGAATTTCTGGATGCTGATACAAACATACTCTCAATGGTTTTTGCACTTCATGCAAAGTGAGAAATAGCTAAATAAATGCTGGCCTGTAGTGGGGTCTTTGGAGGCTTCTGTTGATTAGAAATTTGAAATTAAAGCATTTTTCTAGATGGCTTGAACAGGAATTTTTTAGTCCCTTTTTCTGTGAGAATAAAACTTAAGGGCTGGTTCTGCCTCACCTCTATTTTGAATAGAAATTTACATCTGTCCATGGATAGAACATTGCCTGTACCTATTGGTAAATCTTACTGCCCGTGTTGTCGCAACGGCATCGCTGCTTTCGCCTCTCTTGGGTAGTCTGTGTCCATATCTGGTAGCTTTGAACTGGAGGAAATTCCTCAGTCATTAGCCTGAGTGGCTTTAGGTAATTTTTCCTTCTCTCTCCATCTTCACAAGCTGAATAATTCTCCCTCTCCCTGCCTTAGATAATTGTCACGGCAGTTTTGTTTTCTTAGCACTGTTTTACCTAGAAATAACAAACTGTCGTTCATCTGCAAAATTTTGAATTCAGCTTTTTTGAATGCTTTGGGAAATCACTTTGGGATTTTAATATCATTCTGTCTCCCACAGGGCCGAGTAGTTGAGAATATTTCGAAGAGATGTGGGGGTTTCTTGCGGAAGTTGAGCCTGCGGGGCTGCCTGGGAGTGGGAGACAATGCTTTAAGGTAGTGGTACGGCTTCTTTCTGCTCTTCAGTGTGATATAAAGAATGATTCAGTTTCTCCAATGACAGAGGACTGTAATAATTTATGAACAATTTGGAATAGAGATCTTTAGCCTGTGTGTCCAACTTGAAATATCAGGAGCAGTAACAGAGAAGCCTTTTTAATTTATCATTTTTTTTAGCTTCACACAGTAGTCATTTTTCTCAATTCTCATTCAAATAATACCAGCTGCTCCTGCAGGCTAAGTAGGAATTGGTGCTGAATCACAAACTTTGGCCTTTAGGCTGGGAAATCCCAATGCAAGATATTGGGGCAACATAAATTATTTTATTTACTTGTTAATTTTGTTGTAAGACAATTTTGTAAATCCTATCTGGTGATGCAGTTAAAACAAATGCTGTAAAACATCTGGAGATCTCATGCCTGAAACATACTGTGTTTTCCCTTTTCTTTACTAAAGGACATTTGCACAGAACTGCAGAAATATTGAAGTATTGAACCTGAATGGCTGTACCAAGATCACAGATGCGTGAGTAACATTCTCATCTCTGTTTGCCCTGCCATCCCCTTTTCTGCACGTACCGTGTTACATTCTCCATCTCCTTTTTACAGGAAATCCAGGCTTGTGCACACAGTAGATAATTTAATGCATGTCATGTGAAATGTACATGACTTTGACTATATGTGTTGCATGAGTGTTTCTTGTTTGTTCTCTTTCAGCACGTGTACCAGCCTCAGTAAGTTCTGCTCTAAACTCAGGCACCTTGATTTGGCTTCCTGCACTTCCATAACCAACCTGTCTCTGAAAGCACTGAGGTAGGAGTCAACAACATTGACTTGTGCTGCTTGATTCCCCATCGTGTGACCCACCCTGTGTCTCCTCTGCTTTGAAGGAGACTGGCTTAGGCTGAGGTGTAGGGGTGATTAGAATTCAGGTGTCCCCCAACAGAGCTCAGCAGTCACACCTTGTGCCTCCTGGATGGCAGACAGAGGAGGAGGACTCAGTAAAAGCTGCCCTGACCTTGTTTGTATCCATCCTGATGGTTATCAGCAGTAGAAAAAGAATTATATTCTATGAAAGTCTTGGAGTAGGACAAAAGTCTTAATCTGCCTTTTAAAAATACTCATTTATTAGCAATCCACTTCTTCATTGTAGGTGTACCATGGTGTACTTAGCTAGTGTTTACCTAGCTAGAGGGTGAACTATTTGTCTTTTTAAAGTGCTTAGGAGACATTTAACTGCTTAAATCTGCTAAGTGGAATTGCCAAGTAATCTAGGAAAGGAAAGGAAAGACAGACTTTGGTAGGAACATATTGGGACACAAAAAAGGAGGCAAAAAAGCAACTCAAGGTAACAATAGAAGCCAAGCTATTTAAAAAAAATAATAATCAAGTGATATGACAGTAGAATAAAAGAAAATACAGGAAAGCTGTATCACAGGGAAAAATATACTGGAGAGTGCATCTAGACACCAGAAGAAAAAACAGATTTGACAGAACAAATGAATGATTCAATTATTTTTGTAGCTGCATTAAAATACTGTGAGCCTGGTTTTTCTTTCCCTTGAGAGTCTTCATCCTTGTCTCTAATTTCATGTGGTTGAATCTCTGCTGTAGCTGTCTTAAATACATGATAGCATGTATATCTCTTCCTAATTACAAATTACACTGGAGTGTTAATCCTACTGGCAGCTCTTTGCAAATGCAAAGTTACACCTGGAAAGTTAGAAGCAGCATGGCAGGAATCAACCTTATTTTTGGTTTTCATTGAGGGTGGTTTGGTTGTACTCACATCCAGAAAGCTCATAGTGTGTGTCCTTGTACAGGAGCTGGGGGGGATCCAAAATGGGGTAAATCAATGGTCTTTTACCCTATTAATACCCTGCTTTACAGCTGCTGATGCTGCCTCTGGAGAGCTCTTCTCAATGGAGATGATGTTTGACAAAAGCATTCCCCGTGGGTGCTTGGGGTGTGGGGGTACATCTGTGCTCATGTGGGTTCCAGAAATGGGAATTCCCTAAATTCTGCCTTGAAGCAGGATTTCTTTCCAAAACAAAACCACAAGCTTTTTTTTTTTTTTTTTTCCCCCACCTCCAAAGTGAGGGATGCCCACTGCTGGAACAACTGAATATCTCCTGGTGTGACCAAGTGACTAAGGATGGCATCCAGGCGCTGGTGCGAGGCTGTGGTGGACTCAAAGCCCTGTTTCTGAAAGGCTGCACGCAGGTAGGGCTCTACAGAGACTGCTCAGATGGAATAATAACAGCTGGCTTATTGCTGCTCTAACTGAAAGTGTTAGGGATGAAGTACTGTGGATTTTTCTATTTCCAGAAATGTTATGTTACTGAAATTACTCACAGTCTGTCTCTTGAAGATGAACTGCTTTTATTGAAATTCTTTAATAGCTTTGAGCTCAGCTTGAATAGTGGGACAGTGAACAAATTGCATATCTAGCTGTAGAATCATTCTTCTTTTTTTCCCATTGGGAACACATTGAGCAAAGTTTTTTTTAAAGAAGAGACAACTTCATTATTCATGGCTAGATCCACCCGTTTCTGAAGGCTCAGGAAAGCATGACAGGACTTTATCTGCACTGGTGATAGGACTTCCTTTACTTGTTGTTTGGATCTTAGAATCATAGAATGGTTTGGGTTGGAAGGGACCTTAAAGCTCATCCAGTCCCAACCCCCCTGCCAGCAGCAGGGACACCTTCCACTAGACCAGGTTGCTCAAAGCCTCATCCAACCTGGCCTTCAACACTTCCAGGGAGGAGGCATCCACAACTTCCTTGGGCAACCTTCTAGTTAGTCTAAGAGAATCACCATGTGTGGGACTCCCTGAAAAGACATTTCTGCAGCCAGGCAGGAACATGGTGCTGTTCCCTCAAGTACATCATAGAGCTCTTGAGCTACAACAGTATTTTTGAAGAGGTTGCAGAGACTGTGGTGCTTGTACTTTGCAATATAGAAATGGTGCAGTAACTCTTAGAGCTGAGAGGGATTTTTTTTTGCCTCCTTGTTATACTTTTTTTTTTTTTATTTAGACTAACTGCCTTTAATCTTTCTTTACTGTCTTACCTGGTGAATCATTGCAAAGTTTATTATGTTAAATACTTCCCTGCATTACAACTTTACTAAGGAGTTATATCAATTATGAACTTCAGTATTATTCTCTTGGTGAGCAAGAGCTCCTTGCAAAGCTATTTCACAAAGAATGTGAAGACTGATTCTTGGTTTTTTTTACTGAGGTGGGCTGAGGTCTTTTTTTATTGGAGACAGTTAGGCTAGAAAGGAGCAAACGTGCATCTCAGAATCTTGTCCTTGAAAAAGGAGAATAAAACTGACCCTGCAGGAGTTTAAACCTATGACCCAGACACTCCCAAGAGTCTAAGAGCCTCAAGGTAGACCTGTAAAATGATCTCTGATCTGTTAGGTCCTTGTACCCGACCATTGACAGCCCTTATTTGTTTTGGATTTGGCTTTTCTCTTGGGGGTGGTAGAGAGATTCCTTGGGTATGAGTCAATAAGTGCTTTTTTTGTCTGCTGTGTATAGATAAACAGCTATATGGTTTTTATTTTGCTATTTCTCCTGTGTGTGGATGCAGAAAGGTTGTTATGATAAGCAAGGCAACAAAGTGCACAGAGCAGTGATACCCTGGTGTGCAGAAGAAAGCCCAGCTGTAAGGGTTATAATCAGTAGTTTTTCTAAATTTATACTAGTGTTGGATTTTTTTAATACGTGAGCTGGGTATACATGGCTGTAGAAATGACTTGATTAAAGATATAACAATCTCAGCCTATTTTGAGAATTCAGGTCACAGAAACAGCTTGAGTTTCTAGTAATTTATGGAGTCGTGAGTAATATTGATGGCAATACATCCTTGTTATCAATTACTTGCCATCTGTTCTTATAGATTTAAGAATAGCAAGCTTTCTTAGCATCAGAAGGCAACCTGGATGTGTTTGTGCTCCTCACATTGAAATAAGACTTTTTTTATTTTTTATTTTTATTTTAGTTCCAGTATTGCAATATAAAAGCAGTGTGACTTACAGGCCCTGGCTAGTGAAGCATTCCCTTAATTCCTGTAAATAGTTTCTGATTTCACTGCTTGCTTTGGTAAGGATGCATGTTTCATCAGATCAGCTTGTCTTTAAATCAGTAACTCAGTGTTGTGGGTCTTTGAACTCTGTTCCTGAGATGGTTAAAATAAAAAGGCATGTATTTATTGCAGTGAGACTGTGGTGCATTGCCCTTCTCCCTCATATAACTATCCAAACCACAGGTGCTTTATCATTCTCAAAGCTTTATTTTGAACATTGCTTCAAGGATTAACAGGTTACTTCAGTCTCTACATTTTTCTTTCCAGCTTGAAGATGAAGCTTTGAAATACATCGGTGCACATTGTCCCGAGCTGGTGACTCTCAACCTTCAAACATGCTTAGTAAGTAAAGCTTCTGCTGATTTCCCAGCTCAGCCATCACTGTGTGTTTAGAGGCCATCTCACAGCAGAACCCTGCACAATGTACTCTCATCCAGAAACGTCATCATCTGTACAGGCAGGGCAGTTGTAAATTTACCAGACTTTTAAAAATAGTTGATGAAAACCAGCTTTTTTTGGTAGCATCCAGTAGTGTTGAATAAGCCCCCAAAACAGTGTCACAGCATTCACTTTGTCAGAATTGTTTGTCTCTTTGCCCTGCCCGTGGGGCTTTGAAACTCATTTGCAAGACTAGCTGGAAAAATTCTTTCCATTGGGCTGGAGTGTTTGTGTGGTGATCTAGCCAGGCGATTCCTCTGGTCTCTTTATAAAATTGAACCAAGAAATGCAGTTTCCCTGCACAGAAGGGCTCTAAACCAGTTATTCTGCAGTGCTAAAAATGTATATTTATGCCAGAAAATAAATTGGAATGGGCTTTTTGTACATACCATCATGCAGTTAGTCTGACACAGTGAGTAACTGGACAGTCTCTTCCTTTTCCACGGAAGCAGAAAGGCCTTGGGGGGCTGCAGGGTTGTCCTTTCCCAGTCCTGTTTAAGGAGCAGCTTTACCAGTTACTAGACTGGTTAGAGACTGGTACCCATCCATCTGAGACTGGGTGCTTGCAAAAGAGGAGCTGGACTGTTGACAAGTTCCAGACCTGCATCTGGTGTCTCAGGGAGAGGCAAATAGGTAGAAGGGAGAAGAAAACTAATCAGGTTCTTGAGTGCCTTCACTGAAAATGCCAAGTTCTGCTCAGTTTTTATTTCCTCTCACTCCAGCACTTGGACTTACCAGCCCACAGACTTGCTGTTTGCTATTTTAAAAGCAGCAGTGCCATTCCCTAGGTTGGTGCTTTTTTTATGGGAATTGAGTCTGGCTGCCTCTGAAAAATCCAGAAACCAAGACCTGGGTGAGGTTTAACCCGGTTCTCCAGCACACACGGCCTCTGCCACCTCTTGTCCCCCTTTCCCTCATCCCACTGCTGGTGTTGCTCTCGGTCCCCTCTGCATGCCAAATCCCAGCCCCATGTGCTCATGGAGGGAAACATCTGGAGCAGATTTGTGTGCTGTTGTCCTCACAGACTTGTGAGCACCTGGGGCTGGATGGACCCTGTGTGTTCAGAGACACAACTGGTGGATGGAGCCGCTGTGCCACCGGGTGAATTTAACATGATTTGGGCTCTAAGCCTGTCTCTCAGGGTTCAGGTTTTGGTCCTAAACCACTGGAGTGTATTTTTAAAAGGCTGCTTGTGAAAACAACCAGCTGCTTGTGTTGTGGGTGACTCTGGTAGGTGCTCTCATCTTGACTTGCAGCCAAGAAGGTCTTGCCAACCAAAGGTTGCAGAGAAAGGCAGGAGACCAAGTCTAGCCCTGCTGCTACTGTGCCTTCCCCCATTGCTGACATGGCCCGAGCTCAGAAACATTTCCATGTGTGTGGAATCACTTTCCAAATGTTTACAAGTCACTTCAGTGAGGCTTATCCTGCTTCAGCTGTTCCAGTGAAATATTTGAATGCGTTTTTGGGTTGAAAGAAGCATAACTTGGCCTCAGTTAATTGCCTGGTCGGAAGTCAGAGAAGGAAAATATGCAGTGCCTTGCACCTCCACCTACATTGTTATGGCTTGTGATGTTGTTATTGTTTTTCTTGTAGCAAATAACAGATGATGGTCTCATTACAATATGCAGAGGATGCCACAAGTTACAATCCTTGTGTGCTTCAGGCTGCTGTAACATTACAGATGCCATCTTGAATGCCCTGGGACAGAACTGCCCAAGGCTTAGGTAAGTTTTTGGTGCAGAGTTACCTACCCCATGTTGAGCAGAAGATCTTGGTGACGTAGTCATGTAATGTTTGAGCCACTTTAGACTCTAAAGGTCTTTCTGAAAATGCACTTTTTATCACTGAGAACTCTTTTCTAGGAATTTGCTGAGGGATGATTGTACTTTTACCCAAACTTCTGGTTTCTAAACTTGTAAAACAGTGGTAGAAGAGCTCCGTGCCATGGTGGTGTGTGCTGCCAATAGACTCACTTAGCAGCAGTCTCCTTTTACAACATTGTGTATCTACTTTTGTTCTTTTATGAAGAACAGTTGAGGTTGGGTTACTGTTGTATTGCCAGCTGAAAACACATTTGAACAACATTGTTTCCTCTTGACCTGTGATATTAAGAGAGTTTTCATGATGATTTTGTAGCAGGTGGAATTTGAACTTTCACTCTGCTTGAAAGAATGGGCTTCCAGCATCATCTCTGCAGGTGCTTGCTGGTTTTTGGGGGGTTTTTTTGTTATTCTTTAAGACTTTTTTTATTAGGACAAGTTTCTCCAGGAAGACATCTCTATAATTCAGAAAATGGCCAGGTACAGGAAGAAGAGGCAGTTTTATTATCTGACATCTGTAACAGCTGAGTGGCCTGTTTTAAATGGCATAAAATACATATCATCCAGGGAAAGGGGGGTGGGAAAAAACCAACCCACAACTGTTTCCTGTGATAAGCTCACTTAGAGAATTATGGGTACAAAGTGCAGCATAGAAGTGTATGGAAATCAGTTTGAAAAGAGGAAGGTAAAGGATTATTTCAGTTCCAAATGGTGTCTGTGTTTATGTGCAGCTGCAGCTTTGCAGTGTTAAGCTCCATACGATGAAGTGTGTAACAAACTCTGGGCAGGTTGGCTTTTTTTTTTTTTCTATAAAAGTAGATAAATATGTGAACATTGTGAAGGAAACCTCTGCAGAGCTGCAGTAACTGCCAGCAAGTGAATCTCTTGTCACAGAAGCGAGCAGTTTGCCTCTTAGAAGACTTCAGACTCTTTTATCATGGTGTTAAATATTTATCCTTGCACGCCCATCTACCAGGTTGTCGTGTTTTGCACCTTTTTTCACCATGAGATCTGTGTTTTGGGTGGAAACCAGAGGACAACACTTGGGGAGTGTCCAGCAGTGAAGGTTTTTAAGAGCACCCTGGGTCCAACATGTGTTGGATTAGACCTCCCTGCCTCCTAGCAGGGTGTGGTCTGGATGACCCTCAGAGTTCCCTTTTAGCCTGACTTCTTTCTTTCTTTCCCTGTGACCTACACTCAGGTATAGAGGGTGGATGCTCTGTGCAAAATTAATCCTCTCAGAGAGCACAGCCTAAACCGGGTCAAACTTTTCTGGGTTGCTGGAAGCTTTTAATGAAACACTCTGAAAAGCAAAAATGACTCCACCATGGTTATTATAAATTCTTTCTGTGCAGAATATTAGAAGTTGCAAGGTGTTCTCAACTAACAGATGTGGGCTTTACCACTCTAGCTAGGGTAAGTGCTCGTTTCCACTTTTTTAATCAAGTGTCTTGGCTTTCTTTTCGTGATAGACATGAATAAACAGTAGCTTTCTCTTAAATGTTGATTTTTGTAATGCTTTTGACATTTGAGTGGAAGCTAAGTTATAAAAATGAGGTTGCATGTCATCTTTGGCATCATCCTGACCCACACATCTAGGAGGATGTGCATCCAAACTACATGAAATGTCGAATACATGAGAGTTATAAACTTTACTGTTTGTTTTTTCTAGATTAATCTGTGTTCTCTACAACTGACCCTAAATTTAGCCTCCTTTATTTTCTATGAATAAAAAACCTTAGTGCCTTTAAATGAGTGAAATTGATCGATTTCCTTTACTGTATTTAGTGGTGTTCAAAAAGAAGCAGCAAACTTTCCTTTCAGTCATGATATTCCATGGAGGAAAAAACCTTCATTTTTTGAAAAGAACTTGTTTTATTGGAGTTGTGCCTATATTTACTCTCTGAACTTTGCACTTAATTTGTGTGTTTGATCTTTTGTTTGTTCCTAGAACTGCCATGAGCTTGAAAAAATGGACCTGGAAGAGTGCGTCCAGGTAGGAGGTGTCACCTGGGGCTGTTACTTTCTTTAGCACAGTCACAGAAATGTGGAAAGATCCTGAAAAAGTAGATTTACTCTAAATAAGAACTTGATTTAGAATCCTGAGCAAGAAGATCAGATATATTTGGATAAGAAAATACTGCTCTTGTAGTTTGATCCTTTGTTTGTATTGTTTTCAATACTAATGAATGCTACTGTAAATAATTTTAGAAGTCTTTAATAGTAAGAGGTGTGTCCTGAAGGTCACTTAATAGATGTGGGAATTGTGACCCTTGACACAAGATAAAAACCCCAGAATTGCATCTCTGCACATAAGGCAAGGAAGGTTTACACCACATTTATTGCTAGAAAGAATGGGAGTTACCCCTGTTTTGAAAACCCATAGCCAGATTATTTGAACAGCAGTGACTTTAGAGAGAACATGGCAACAGCTTGAAATAAGTGGGGTGAAATATCATGAGTCTTTTATCCTTGAGTCTCTTAGAACCCTGTGCTGCAACTGTTTTCCTTACTTTTAAGCAGGTCTCATACGTGACTACACACTGTTCTGTAGAGTGTGTGACATAAACTGATAAACCATTTCAAGGCAGCATTTACAGGGGAAAATAGTTGAATTTACTCAAGATCCCAGGAAAAAAATCTCTAACCCCGAGGATAGATTTGAAATTGATTCAGATAAAGACAGTGGAGATAATAGGATTTTGCTTCCTGCCATGAGAACAACGTGACCCCAGTATTCTGTACTTCCTGATGTTTACAGGGCAGAAATTCAGGAGATCACAAGAGGAAATTACAATAGTCCAGACAGGAAGTGATTTAAAGTTAACCCAAAAAAGGAAGAAGAAAAATTGGGCTGTGTCCTTGGACTGACTGCATTGAACAAAGACATCCCAGCAAGTTCCCTCCTGAATGCTTTTAGATTAGAAAGCCATTGTGTGGAGTCTCTTGCTTCCTGAAGAATAAAGAGGACCAATTCAGCAATCCACCAAGCTGTTGGAAAGGGGGTTTGAACACCTCTTCTCCTTTCAGAGACAAACATTTAGGAGATGTTGGGGTGTTGAAGGAGTCTGCTCACTTGCTTCTCTTTAATTGGGAGCGTATTTCATGAGAGCTACTTAAGGAAGTTAAAAACAATAATAATAATAATAATAAAAAAAAGAGCAACACCTCTGCCTTAACAGTCCTTGAAGGACATGAGCTGATTTCTATAAGGGAGTGGAAGAATCCATACATCTGAAATTTGGTCATGCAGGAGATGAGCTCCTGAGGGGCTCAGGAGAGTGACTGTCATGGATTAGGCCAAAAGTTTGCAGGTTTTCTTTCATAGAGGGGGTGAAAAAAGTCCTTGTGCAAAGCACCCAGCGTGAAGGAGCTTTTTCTTTTTTTCCAGATAACAGACAGCACACTAATCCAGCTTTCCATACACTGTCCACGGCTTCAGGTTCTGGTGAGTATTACAAGTGAGACTTCCAGCATGTTCTTTCTACAAAGAAAGGGATTTTTAAGCACTGCCTGTAAAGATTTGTCTCTTTGGCTTCATAGACATGTCGTGAAGGGCTTGGAAGGATTCAGCTAGAAACTTGACCCTGCAGAACCTATTGTCCCTCCCCTACTGCTAGCATTAATCGTATACCAGGCACCCACAGTTGCCTGAAAATGAATTGTAGGACACTGGATTCTCCTGGTCCCAACCTCTGGCTGTCCTCAGCAAGCCTGGCAGCATCTGTCTGCAGACTGGGCTGTCAGTCTGTAGGAGAGGAGACTGCAGCCCTTCTCAGCTGTGCTGTGGAGCTGGGCAACTGGGACTTGGAAAGCTTGCTGGCTCTGGAAAGCAATCTTCCTCTTGGTCTGAATTTCTGGGAGTTTAGTCTCAAGTCTTTTCTGCATCCCTGTGTGTGCTGCTCCATTGGCCTGTGAGAAAACCTGTCCTGGGAGGTGAGGGATGTAGTCAGTGGGTTCTCCTGGGCATCATCCCTTCTGCACACTGTGCCCCTCAACAAAGCAACAGGCTGATGCTGTCTCCTAGTTCAAGCCCCGCTTCCTCCTCAAGAACTTCTAAGATGCAGCCTCCCACCAAAAAAAAGGCAACAAGTAGGTGATGTTGAATTTCTGCTGGTTCTTAGACCCAGTAACAGGGTCCTTCCCATGGTGTTTAAGGCCACAGAGACTATAAAGGTGGTTTCTTCAGTCATTCATTTCTTTGCTGTCCTGTCTCCTGGCCCCACTGATCTCACCTTCCAGCAACTGCCTTTCCCATTGCCCCTCAGCCATGAGTTTTCCCCTTGCAGGCACGTTAGTCATTGGGAGACCCACAGAGCTCAGTGCCTGGAGTCCAAAAGCAGCTACTCCAGTGCAAGGAGAGACTCTAGACGTGTCCAAAGAGCCAGTGTGGTGAACCAACCCAAACTGATGAAACATGGGACATCTTCTCTCATGTCCCACAGTGTCCCCTGGCAGGGTGTTGGCTTCTGCTTGCCGATGGCAGAGGCTGCTAACTCATTGTGTTTGGATGCAGAGTTTGTCCCACTGTGAGCTGATCACGGACGATGGGATTCGTCACTTGGGAAACGGCGCCTGCGCACACGACCGCTTAGAGGTGATCGAGCTGGACAACTGCCCCTTGATCACAGACGCCTCCTTGGAGCATCTGAAAAGCTGCCACAGCTTGGAGAGGATAGAACTGTACGACTGTCAGCAAATCACACGGGCAGGGATCAAGAGACTCAGGGTAAAAAGAAAAACAAACCAAAATGAAAACCCTGCTAAGGCTGGGGCTGGAAGGTTTTATCTGGTGGGAGGAGGGAAGGCTGAGGTTTCAGATTCCTCATCATCCCGTGCTCATTCTTAAAAGTATTGTGAGAACCATCATCTATGAAATTAATAGCTGTCCTGCCCTCAGAAGATTGGAGGGGGAGGAACACTAGCTGGTAGGGAAGAGAGATAATTGCTGTGTTCACTGTGTAGTAGCAGAAGGGAACAGAGGGGACCCAGCGTGCAAGTGCTCATTTTACAAGCCCTTGTACGTGACAACACTCGTCTGAACGTGGGACCCAGAGTCAGTGCCACAGCAGATGTGCAGAGTGGCACCTCCTCCCCACTGCTGTGTGTGCTCAGCGTGGGCTGTAGTGTGCTTTGTACTGACACTCCCGTGTAAGTCACTCCAGCTAATCCTGGAATAAAGCCCGTCTGGTGTAGGGGTGACTCTGTGTCCTTGTGAGAGGGACAGAGCCGGGGCTGCTCTGTCAGTAGCTGCTGGTCATCTAAGACACTCTGTGTCCCAACGATTTCCATCCTGAGTCTTTCTCCCTCTGTAAAAGGGGAGGAATGACAACATTTTATTGCAAAGAGAACACAGATCGGTGCAGTTGGGTGTTCTGTTCCTCACGGCTGTCACAGGGTCAGTGGTGAGGAAAGAGCATCATTCTTTTTTCTTGTTGCCTGTAACTCTTGGAGCACAAGTGTGATGAGTTCATGGCTGAGGGAACTGGGGTTGTTGAGCCTGGAGAAAAGGAGGCTGAGGGGAGACCTTCTGGCTCTGTCCAAGTCCCTTGGAGGAGGGTGGAGAGAGGTGGGGGTGGGTCTGTTCAACCAAGGACCAAGGGACAGGACAAGAGGAAATGGGCTCCAGTTGTGGCCAGGGCAGTTGAGATGGGATGTGAGGAAGAATTTCTTTGCTGAAAGGGTTCTGAGGCATTGGAAGGGGTTGGCCAGGGCAGTGGTGGAGTCCCCATCCCTGGAGGGATTGAAGAGTCGTGTAGACATAGTGCTGAGGGACATGGGTTAGTCATAGAGGACTGGTCAGTGTTGGGTGCATGATGGGACTCATTGATCTTAAAGGGCTTTTCCATTCCAGGCCATTCTGGGATTCTCTTTTCAGATAACAGAAAATTTCCCAATCCACAATTTTGGGGGAATCACGCTGCTAAACTGCCAGTTTGACTCTGGTTTTTCAGTCTGTGAGTCTGTAGTGTGCAGAGGAGCAAACCAGGCCTGTTTCTAACTCTGACTCTGACGCTGCCACTGCCCTTGTCCCTTAACTCCTGGTGTTTCTCTTTTCAGACCCATTTACCCAATATTAAAGTCCACGCTTACTTCGCGCCGGTGACTCCTCCTCCCTCGGTCGGGGGCAGCAGACAACGCTTCTGCAGATGTTGCATCATCCTATGACACTGGAAACCATCATCTTTGCAAACTGAGTATTTAATTACACTTGTAGAGTTCCTGGTGGACACCAGTATCTTGGAGGAAAACGATACCAGTGTCATTTACAAGGGCCAGTGACCAGAGCTGTGGTGCCAGGCCCCTGTAGCCACCCATACACGTACATATACACACCCCACCTGTTCCAGCAAACTGATGAACTCAGCAGGACGGGAGCTGGAGCTGTGTTGGTTTTGTTTTTGTTTTTGTTTTTGTTTTTTTTTTGTTTTTGTTTTTGTTTTTTTTTTTGTTTTCTGTAGGTGGATTGGTATAATTCTGAACCATTCCTTAACTGGGCATGCTCAGATGAAATCACTGCGGTAAGGAGGGGAGGGTTGGGTTTTTTTTATGGACTCAGAATGATTGTTGCTGCTGTTGAGGTTGGATTATGAATGAAATCCTTTGACATGGGGAAAGTGGGGAGGAAAAAAGGGGGAGAGGAAAGGAACATGCTTTAACCCTGCATCTGTTGTCCAAAGGAGAGGAAAAAAACAAACAAACAAACAAAAAAAAACCTGAAAATCCCAATAAGTTTTGTGCCCTTTTTTCATGGAGGGAATGAAACAGCAGCTGTTGTGGGACATGATTTACTCCTGCTTCTCTACTTCCCGTTCCCTGCTGACCACCCTGAGCATGCTCACACTGAAGGTTCATCTCTTTCTTCTTGTGTCCTGTAGCATCCAGCTCAGAGGCTTCCTAGATTGTTGTGATAGAGCTTGAAATCTGTAATGTCAGGCTCAGTTTTTTTTTACCCTCCCTACATCCTCCTTTTATTATTTTATTTTATTTTATTTTTACAGAACTCTAATTCAATAATTTTTTGAGATTTACCAAACAAAAGTTATAAATCAATCATTTAAATTAAAAAAAAACCCAAAAAAACCCCAAACAACAACTTGTTACTATTAGAAGCCTGAGCCTGTGATGATGTGTTGGGAAGATTTTTAAATGGGAAGTGAGCTGTGCTACAGGCTGGGCTCCTGGAAGCTCCTCAGCCTGTTTTTATCAGCGACAGGGTGTCTGAATTTGTTTTGCATTTCAGGTTTTATCCCAGTGACAAGAATATAACTCTTAATAGAGAGGAAAAAACAAAAGTTATAGTCTCTTGACTGTAAGTTCCCTACTCCTCCTGTCCTTTCCCCTCCTTCATCCTCCCCCCAAGGAAAAGCAAAGTAGAATCATTGTGGCTTGTTGGCCCTGATGAAGAAATAACGACTCATTAAAGGCAGCGGGAGGCACAAAACCACCCGCGGGTCTTGGTCAGGGGTTTGGGCGCCGAGGGGCGAGCGCTGGGTGATTTCCCTGAGCTTTGCAGGTAAGTGTCTTGTCCCCAGCAGGAACCAGCTGAATCAATTGGGGTTTTGTGGCTCTGTGCCAGTCCTCCCCCCCCCTGTCAGGGGACCTGTCAGGGGACGTGTTCCCACCCGCTGCTTTTGAGGCATTTCAGGCACAATGAGCCCAGGTGTTTGAGGAGCGCAGACACCCCGGGCTGGCTCTGTGACCTCCCAGTTCCTTGATGCTGGTGGTTCCACCTGCCCCAGTATGAAACGTGAACAGATGGGTGGACACCGAGGGTTTAATGGGGCAGAACTACTCCAACAGGTTTGTGGAAGAGGAGCTGATGTGTAAGCGATCGCGCCCGTCCCGCTGTCCTCACCCCGGGCTGGACGGGAGCACGCGTGGTCATGGATGGTTCCAGCTTGTCCAGTCATCCCAGCAGCCCAGGGAGTGGTGTGGTCACCTCTGTGGGGAAGAATATGATGGAGAAGAGCGAGGTGCAGCATAAAAAATGGCTATTTTAGGTTCTGGGGGTTGGTTTGTTGGGTTTTTTTTCCACTGTGGGTTTGCTTTGAGGACAGAGTGTTGCTTCCCAACCCTCTAAATCACTGTCTGAGCTCTTCAGGCAGCCGGAAGGGTCACTTAGTACCACCAGAGCCGTATCCCCTTCATCTACAACTGAGAACTTCCCCCACCCATCTGTAAATGCTTCACAACCATCTTGCAGAGGCGCAGGCTGCCGGGAGGAGACCCTCTGTGCTGTGGTTAAAAGGACACTGTCAGTTCCTCTCCCGTAGATCGCTTTTAATCCATGATATTTAATCAAATCCTGTGGATTCTTGGATTCTCTCTCTCTCTCTCTCCTCGGTGAGCGTGGTCCTAGATGGCATTTGCAAAACTCCTTTCTCCACTTTTCAGGGTGTTGGAAGAGAATGGAGCTTCCCACGGTGACAGACTCTGAGTGGGGGGATGGGGGGGGGGGG